ATTATATTACAACTGCGGAATATTCAAATGGTAACTGTGTACCATCTTCGTTTTTCGTATGCATTGATAAACTAGGTCGTTTGAATAAAAATATATATATATATAAAATAATCATCACAATTTGTATATTAAAATTATTATTATTATTATTACTAAGTCAACGACCTAGCCACGCTGTAATATTACTTCCCGTCAGATAACTAAAATCAACCAACGATAAGTACGATTACTACACGGATGGGTAACCTGTTCGAAAAAAAAAAGAAAAAACTAAAAACCATTTACAGAATAAGTAATTAATTTTACATGTAATGTATGTGTAATGTAAGATAGATGTTTATAGAAAAATACAGATATCCCTCCTATAACATGGTTCCGCTATAATACGATAAGAAAACTGCGAAAAAACCTTTGTATACAATACTGCATTTCTACAGTAATGAATAACATGATTTTTATTCAACATATTTACAAAACTAAATTACCTTAAAATAATGACGGGAAGAGTAATAATGATCTTTAGAGTCTCATATAACATGAAATTTTGTTAGAAACCTACACCTAACGTGTTATAAGAGTGTTACCTGTAATTCGAATCTACAAAAAGGGTAAAGTATAATAATAATAAAAAGACAATATTAAAATAATATTATTATTATTATTATTATAATATCTAATTTTGTGTAGTAATTTTAATGATATCTCAAAAATTGTAACTATAACATTACCTCCATGAAATTTCATATTCTCTTATAAATTCTCTCTCCCACCTCAAAGAGAGATATAGAGAGATAGAGTGAGAGGGGTGGAGGGGGAAAGAGGGTGGTGGTGCTGTCGACGTTCGATATTCACATTTCTCGACGCGAACGCGAAGTTTCGTTACGGGTCCTCGATAATTTCATCCGCGAAATGAAATGTGATTAGACTGCCCATTACGGTCCATTAGGGTATGGTCGCCAGCTCGGACAGAACCTTCGCGCGTCAATGGTCTCTCTAACGGGAACTCGCTTTGTCTGTCTGTCGATAATCGATAAGCGATACCCGCTTCGTTTCGTTTCGTTTAGTTTCGTTCTCCCACTATATTACATTCCACGACGTGTGAGAAATGTCGTTAAAAAAGAAAATAATCGTTCCTCGAACGAGAACGTACGAACGAACGTGCGAGTAAGTAGATATCGATCTTTTCAGAAAAAGGGGGAGGGGGGCAAAGGGGGGTAAAGGGTAAGAAGGGAAAGGATATATAAGCTATCCTACCTTATAAATCAAACTTCCCCATTTCGAATGGTAAATCATTAAAATCATAATTATCGATCTCTCTGTCGAGAAAGAAAAGTTTTTTAAGAGGATAACCGATCAAAGTTCTTTTTTTTTTTTTCTTCTTCTTCTTCTTCTTTTTCTTTTTCTTTTCTTTTTTTTTTTTCATTCCCCGAAAGGTAGAGCCATTAAAGGTTGGAATAATTCGTCGTCTACGCGGTTTCTTTGCGTATAGGAAAAAGGAAAAAAAGGAAAGAAAGAAAAGTTGGCGATTAGCGAGGAAGAATCAATCGTTCGTTCGTTCGTTCGTTCGTTCTTTCGTTTTTTTTTTTTTTTAAATCGACAGCAAGCAACGTGTGCCAGGCCGACGTGGAAAAAGGTGAAGAAGGGGGGAAGGAAGTGTAAAACGCGAAAGGTGCAGACGAGAAAGGACGAATAGAAAAGAGAAGTAAAATGAGAGAGAAATAGTGAGAGTGAGAGTGAGTAAGTGAGTGAGTGAGTGTGTAAGTGAGTGAATATCAGGGGAATGTTGGTAGCGTTCTTGGTGGGAAACGAGAACAAAGAAAGCAGTACGGTATTAATAGCGAACTCAACGAGTCAAGTAGAAGTGAATCGAGTCGGGTCGAATCGAATCGAAACGAAACGAATGGAATCGAATGGAACTGAACCGACTCGTACTCGACATGAGATTGGTTCACCAATGAGGTAGAGTTACTACCGGTAACGAGATTCCCGCGTTTCGTGCTACTAAATAATACCGATGTTATTGAATGCCTTTAAATCATGCTTTATAATTCGCAATTGGGATCAAAAATTCTAACCGATTTTATCCGGTATGTCCGTACGGATAATTTTACCACATTGGTTTATTACTTCACAGGTATTGTATTATGTATATGTTATCGTCAAAGTCGGAAATCAGTCATTGCTAGTAATTCCTCGGCATTACTATGAATGCAAAGAGCCTTCAGACGAAGTCGGAAATTGAAAAATTCTTCCAGTTTTTCCTAGGCATCGAACATAATACTTTGATATTCTATAGAATATCAAATTACTTATCGGAGATTGCAATGCTGTAAATTGTACAACTTTGCTATTTCTTTGACAAGTTTTGGTAAATATTTTTTATACTTTTAGCAAATGGATTTTAATGATTTTTATATTAAATTAAAGTACACTCTTTTGTTAACGCGTAGAATACCATATCGAGTTATAAATTTAGCATGTAAAGTTCAGAAAATGTCAGAGAATGCAATGCTGTAAATTGTGCATCTTTGCCATATCTTTAAAAAGTTTTGGTAAATATTTTTTATACTTTTAGTAAATGGATTTTAATGATTTTTATATTAAATTAAAGTGCATTCTTTTGTCTACGAGTAGAGTACTTTTTCGAGTTATAAATCAATCTGCAAAGGTTTATAAAATGACAAAGAAAAATTGGCGGACTTGGCATTGCTAGCATTGCCGGGGGAGGTTTGGAACCTCCAACCTGGTCGGTAATATTAACTTAACTTTCTAAAATTCGAAATTTTCCTTGAAATTCCATATTCCTGAACACATCCTAACTTTCACGGCTCATTAAGCAATGTGGATATGTTGCACACCCTTCGTTAAACTCTTTGCTAAGCGTTTAACGATCTAAATGGGAACGTAATAGCCTTTAGCGGATTTCTTTTCAAGCATTCAGTAATATTTATCTTGCATTGGTATAAAAAAAAAAAAAAAAAGAAAAAAAAACAAATATTCGTAGAGATTCCCATTTCGATGAATTTTTTTTTTTCTTATTGTAAAAGCTATTAAACTTTAATTGCATACTTGTGAGAAAATAAAAATATCAAACGTTATTCATAGTTTTTCAATCATATGCATTAATTGCGCTCAACGATATTTTAAAGGGTTTCGAATTATTACATCGCTTATCGTTTTTATATCAAAACTAATTGTTAGAAGAGATAAGAAGGTGGTAAGTGTCTCGATGGAATTCTCAAGAACTTTATTACCGTGTCGAATCGCGTTAAAATTCGAAAAGAGAGAGAGAGAGAGAGAGAGAGAAAGAGAGAAATGTTTCCTAGTTGACTTCGACCTTAATTTCCGGTACTTCGGCTTCGTTTTCCGGAATGACTGGCGGCAAACGTTTTTCACCTTTCATTCGATTGAACTAAAGTGCTCTAAGGGATGCATTCAATGCATCTCTCTCTTTATAACATGCTAGACGTAATTCAACTCGTCTTCGATTTATCTCGACTATGATTTAATAATAATAATAATAATAATAAAAAGAGGAGAAGAAAAATCTTCGTTAACGAGAAAAAGACACAAAGGATATTATTAATACAATTAAAGATTTATTATTTTAATTAAAATATGTGTTGAGAGATGAAGTTTTTAAGCATCAAAAAATAAACCGACTAAAAAATTAAATACAATCTCTTTCTAGGATTATTCTTTGATCTTATTTTATATACCGTGTGGTTTCGCGTGTAAATATAGAAAGAAAGAAAGAAAAAAAATAAATAAAGAACGCAAGTTAGAGGTACTTCCGTTTCGTCTTAAAGACAAAATTGAGTAAAACGAGCACGTAACTTTTGAACAAAGTGGAGCACGTCGAGTCAAGTGGACGTGGTGGTTGGTGGTGGTGGTGGTGAGTGAGTGGATGTCTGACTGTTCGCGATGGTTTCGTTCGTTGGCACGCGGAATCGAAACATCCGAATCAACCTTTTTGGCCCTAACGTGGGAGGCAGGCATGCATGCATGCATGCATGCATGCAGGAAGGAAGGAAGGAAAGAAGAAGGGATGGAAGGAAGGAAAAGAAGGATTTTTACAGACTCTTCCGAACCCCCTAAATTCTCATTCGTAGCTCGTGCCAAGACGGGTCCAGACGTCATTTTTTTTAACGTCGAAAGAATCGAGACTCGAGTGCCCACACCCATACCCCATCCTCCCCCACACTCCACTAAATCCTCTGTTACCTTTTAGAACTTTTTCTCTCTCTCTCTCTCTCTCTCTCTCTCTCTCTCTCTCTCTCTCGAAAGAAAGAAAGAAAACGTGCGAGACAGAAATAGAAAGAGATAAAGGTGGGGGTAAAAAAATCGAAGCCATTTTCTTTAGAAAGGTTTATATCGTGTATAAGGGCTGGGGGTGGGAGGGAGGGAGGGCTGAGGGGTCGATGTGGTGGTTGCTGCCGTGTTGGTATCCCATGAACGACGAAGGGATGGACCAACCAACCAACCAACGAACGAACGAACGTCCGAATTCAATCCCCTTTTTGCTCTTTACCTTAACCTTTCTTCCTTCCTTCCTTCCTTCTTGAACCCCATCATCATGGCATCCCATGGCTGCCACGTCGCGGAACATTTCTTCATCGTGCTTCGTTGGAGGAATGCGAATAAAAGCGGTTACGTGGCTCGACGATAAAACGATGTCTTACCTTAACTACGATGACGGAATAATAGGAGGAAGAGGAAGAGGAAGAGGAAGAGGAAGAGGAAGAAGGAGGAAAGAAAAAGAATAGAAAAATAAGATGAAGAAAGGGGAGAAAAGATGGCGCATTAAATTCGCATTAACGTGAAAAGGGCTCAGAGAAACTTGGATGGGAGAGAAGGGGGGAAGGGGGAAGGGGGGGAAGGAAGGAAGGGGCCCGGCCAGCCAATGGGAGATTCTTTTTCTCTTTTTCTATCTCCATGCCACGAAAAAAATCTTCGCGATTCTTTATTTCTCACGAATGCGTTTCATCCTCTTCTTTTTTTCTTTTTTTTTTTTTCTTATATCCGTCACCTTTCTCTTTCCATCGTTTTTTTCTTTTTTTTCTCCTTTCAGTCGAACCGCAAGCGAGGAGAAGGATAGGAAAGAGTAGGGCCAGGCCCAACACCATCACCACCACCACCATCACCACCACCACCATCACCACCACCATCACCAAGATACCACACCCTACGATATCTTTTCCTCCCTAAGAATTTCCTCTTCGACGTTTTCTTTCGAAGCTTTTTCAGAAACGAACGTGGTACATCACAACCATCGGCTCTCAATATTGACACCCTTGGCCCGCAGGGAAAAGACTCTTTTCTTTTTTTTTTCTTTTTTTACCCTCTTTTTTCTTTTTCCTTATTCCTTTCCATTCCTTTCCTTTCCTTTCCTTTTTTCGAGAGGCAGGCGTTTAGTCGTTCCCTTCGCGGAACCTTTGAACACGAGTCCTACATCTCTTCTTCATCAAGATATCGACCTTGAAAGGAAATAGCACACGCTGCCGATCCGCGAGCTCGTCTCACCGATTTCCGTTTTTCTTTCTTATTCATTTTTATTCTGTTCTTTCTTTTTTTCCTTCCTTCCTTCTTTCCTTCTAAACCTCAACTCCAACCAACCCCAAACTCAACCACCACCACCATCACCACCACCGTTTCCTTCCTTCTTTCTCTTTCTCTTTCTTTCTATCTATCAATCTATCTATCTCTCTCTCTTTATTCTTCCACTTTTTTTTTTTTTTCTTTATTCTTCACCTTCTCGATTCGACGGACGTGTCTCGGTTGCCAAACGCAGGGAGATTTGGACGTCTAGTAATGCAACGTCTTGGAAATAATACGGAAAGACGGTTCTTGACGTTCGAAATCGAAAGAGAGAGAGAGAGAGAGAGAGAGAGAGAGAGAGAAAGAGAAAGAGAAAGTCTCTCGTAGGATACTTTAACGGGAGAAATGTCTTTTTTCTTTCTTTTTTTAAAAAAAAAAAATGAATGAATGAATGAACTCTTCACTCTCAAGTTAAACAAAAACTGACGAATCATTTATTCGAGATTCGATTGCAAGTAACATTTATCAACGCGAACAAAAATATTCGTTTGTGGTAAAATACGGGAAAATTTTCGTATCGTAGTTAAAACAAAACACAAAAAAAAAGAAAATATATCCAAGTAATATTTATAACGTTGCCACAAAACGAAAAAGAGATAAGGGAAGAGGGGTAAAAAAAAAAGATAAAAATCAGAAAACTGTCCGGGAAAATTCTACGAAACGTGAATTTCCGCGAGGTGTGTCATCGTGCTAACCGCAACTCTCTCTTTCTCTCTCTCTCTCTCTTTTAGATTTTCTTTTTTTTTTTCGACTGCTCTTTTCCTTCAGCAATCGTCGCGAAAGAAAGTCGTTTCGATAATTATTTCGCCATCTCCCGTCCAGTTCCCATCTCCGGCGCATTTCCTACCCATCCCCGATTACGTTTTACTCGGTTTTGAAGCATTCAAAAGAAGAACTCGGTCCGGGAAAACTCGACGTCGGGTTACCGATTAAGAACGTCAAACGGACCGGAGACGAGAACAGAACGGAACAGAACGAATCAACTTGGAAAAAGACGAATAAAGATAAAGAAAGAAAGAAAGAAAGAAAGAACGAAGAATGGTGGTGGAATGAGGATTGAGAATAAGGGAGAAGGGTAAGGAGAGGGGAGGGGACGAAGATCGTTTCCATTGTGGATCTGAGAACTAGGACTTTGCAGGACTAGAAAATTCGAAAGAGATGCTCCCGTTACCCCTCCCCACCTCGCCAGCTATTGAAATCTTTTCCAGAAGATAATATTCCATTGTATATAATAATTTCTATTCAAACGATCATTATTATCCAATCATATTTTATAGGGATACCTTTTTGACGACACTTTACGAGACAGTTTTGTTATTATTATATCGATAAACTCGTCAGACTCATTTTATTGCTATTTTAACTGTATTATTAGGATAAATCAAAAGTTCGTACGTTTATTGTGTTATTAACATAATGTATAATGGATAATTGTATTTTTCTTTTTTTTTGTAAAATTAACTTGGAAAATGCAGGAACATTTGATTAATTCTCGATAACAGAATATATCTATGTATAAATGTAAAAAATGATATTATCATCGGTATTATCGATTTATTTTAACCCAATCTATATCATCTATCTAACGTTATTGAAATGATTAATAATTATCTTTGATTTATTTTATATAGCCGACACTTCTTTCATAAATTCCTTTATTATAATGGGGATTGTTTTACATCACGTATATAATATATAAATAAAAATGAAATTAAAATAATTTTTTGTGATACGTTCGGCTCGTTTGATCGGTAAAGGGAGGATTACAATTTAAATTAAAAAAAAGAAAAGAAACCAAAAAAACAACAAGTTAATTGTAAGTGTATAAAATATAATTTAAAGAATAAAAAGAAGAGAGAAAGAGAATGAGTGAATGAGAGAGAGAGAGAGAGAGAGAGAGAGTAAGATAAAGTGCTATTACATTGTCCATAGAGACGAGGTACAGCTCGGTCGCTTATTAAATGAGAATATTTATGCGAAGTGGCGTTAACAACCCTATTAGTAAGAAACTCAGCGCCTCCTCCTCCCCCCTCCTACCCTGTCCAACACCCTTCTTGCTATACACGCTCAGCTGGTTCCTCCTACGTGCAGCTGCCGACAGCAATATTGTCGTCGTCATTCCTTCTCTCTTTCTCTTTCTCTTTCTCTGTGTTTTGTCTCTCCTTATCTTTCTTACTGCGACGACAGAAATATAGAACACCCCTAGCAACGTTAACGAAACAGCCTAAACTATGTGTATCGAAAAATTCATGCTATTTTAAATGAATATTTACAAAGTAAATTTGATATAAAAAATGCAAACCATTGTGCAATTTATGATACACAATAAACGCACGAACTTTGAACTTTTATTTTACTCGAATATTACGAATACTTGAATACATATATATGTATATGTAATAAAAAGTTCGTTTTAATAAAAAAGAACAAAATCCAAATAACTCGATGATGTCAATATAATATCGTCCGATTTACGAATATGAATCGGATATCGTCTATCTCTCTCTCGTCTTGATAGTTTTCAAAGATTTGCTACCAGCAGCAAACAACGAGAGACAAAAGCAACGATTGCTGCACACACACACACACACATATACACACGCTCGCGTACAAACATAGGAAGTTAAAAAGCAACGAGGAACAGGGAAAGAGTCCGAAAAGAAAGAGATGAGAGAGAGAAAGAGCGAGAGAGAGAGAGAGAGAGAGAGAGAGAGTGGGGGTATGGGGAAGGGGTTAGAGATGGGGGTATTCTTTCTCAAAAGGTTCCGAGTTCTCTTTTACAAACGGTAACAGCAGAGTACCACCGTCCTCCACCACCACCTCCTCCACCTTCCACCCTTTTCACTCGTCCTATATCCACGTTTTATATAGTCGCGATTTTGTTTTCCATCGATAGAACGTCACCAAAAGAGACATAGGGTGGGGGGGGGAGGAAAAGGGAATAAAAAAAAAAAGAACGAGAGAAAGCTCGATCCAATTTTGATGGGAAACTCGTGCGCGGTTTCGATCGACATACATGCTTTCTATTCTACCATTGTTTTTCTGTTACTATCACAAAACGTTAGGGACACCCATACCCCACCCAACACGCGTGTCCTTTTTTTTTGCTTTTTTTTTTAGGACCTTCGATCGTCTGCTATTAGAAGCACAGAAAGAAAATTCAAGCTAAACTGAGCTCTCAATGCCATCATCACCATCATCACCATACTACGCCACCATTATCACTAGAGAACCACCATATCACCCATCAAGCCCTTCACTCTCATCCCTTCTTTCTTCTACTCACTCTTTCGTCTAACGGAAATCGATTTTCCTCTTTCTCTAGTTTTGGATTTTGTTGTTTTGTCCTTTTTTTCTTTCTTTCTTTCATTCTTTCTTTATTTGCCTTTATTTTTCGCGTTTCACCATTACCGATTCCTCGAATCTTTTTATTTTTTACCTACATCGATTCCCCTGCCGGACTTTTTTATTGCCGGCTAGCATCAAAGGATAATACGATTTCTTCTGTGTTTGCACGTCCGATCGTTGAAAAGGGTCTCATCCTCCTCCCTCCTCCCTCCTCCTCTTCCTCCTCCTCCTCCACCACTCTTCGTGGGAGTAGATATCAGGAATGAAGTTGGATATTGAGAGAGAGAGAAACGAATGATTGCTCGACTCGTAGTAAGTCAAAAGAATGCGTATGTTTGTTTGCGTGTGTGTGTGTGTGCGCGTGCGTGAGTGCGTTTGTATCCTGCGTGTTTATTTATCCGTCGTTTTACCATCAAACAAAATTCATCGAAATTGAACATTTTGTTTGTTCGCATCTTTTTACTTTCCCTCTACCTTCCTCCCCCCACCACCACCACCACCACACACCCTTACTGCGTACAAAATGTGATTTTACGATTAATTACTCTTATCGATATTGAAAAACAGATAGAAATCGATTGATAAAAGGTATATCTAGGAACGGTAATAGAAATAAGAAAAGAAGAAAAGGAGAAAAAATATGTTTTCCAATTCGGTTATGGTGTTTTTTTGTTTTTTTTTTTTCATTTGAACCACATACACGAAGCTATACTTACATCTAACCATCACACACCCACACGCGTTCGAAATAAGGGACACGCAGCCCTTTTCACATAATTAATACACTTCTCTCTCTCTCTATCTCTCTCTCTTTCTGTATGCTGTCTCGTAAGCATTTTTACGCGTCAAGAATAACGAGGGAGGAGTCACGAAAGAGAGAAAGAGAGAGAGAGAAAGAGAAAATTGAAGAAGGGAAGAAGAAGATTGCGAAGCACACGTGGCGCATTTCGCGAATATGATTTTCGAGCTTTCGTGTAAGAAAAAAAAAAAAAGAAGAAAAATATAACCGAGCTACGAAAGTTCTTGCAATTCACGCACGGGTCCAGTATTAGATTTCCTACGACATTAGAGTCAACAAATCGAAACGTGTATTTTACTCGACGTAAATTAGCTGCTTCGGTATCAACAAAATTCTACTTCTCTCGTTTCTTCTCACTCTCTCTCTCTCTCTCTCTCACTTTCTATTTCTCTTTTTATTTACGGGCAACATACATCTCTTTCTTCACTCACACATATACTTTTTCTTCTTATCTTTTTTTGTTTTTTTTTTTTTCTTGTTTTTTTCTCTTTCTTTTCCTTTTCATCTCCCTCTTCCGAACGACCGCAACACTGGGTGCAGAGTTATAAATTTCACGGAGGCGCACCCTCCTCTCTCCATGGTTCAATGTACCTTCTTGCGCGCACGTGCGAAACCGACGGTAGCATACGGCTCTGCGAAGTTAACGAGAGAAAAAGAGACATAGAAATATGGGAAAGAATGTGATAGTTGCTATTACTATCACGACGACGACGACGATGACGATGAACATATTTTGATCTACATTTTTTGATAACAATCCATTCTATTCGCTAATTAAACGGATATTATATATATATATATATATGGATATAATATATTAATAATATATTTAACAATTAGATATTTGTAAATGATCAATATATAAATTATATTCATGATCCCCTGGATTGTATGTGTAAACACGATTACGTTAGTAAATTAAACATTTTTGACTAATCTCGTAATCATATCTTTATATTATATAAAACGAACACAAAGAGTTGCAAAATTATA